ATTTTCGAGAGTCCACTCGCAATACATGTCAATGGGTTTTTAGAGTACACCGGTGAACACACCGTTCACAACACCTACAGGTTGCGAGCCTGCTAGTGTTCCACTGGACTGTCTAGAATAGTCCGTGGTTGTCATCCATACTCTGCTAGATGACGGGGCAACATTTGGGTAAAAGGATTCTCACATCGTCCACCTCTCACCCTCACCTCATGGTCTATTTCACCTCTCACGTCATCATCTGACTCATATTTCATCTACCCATGTTTACCCAACATATTTTGTAGATATAAAATATATATACAGTTTAAATAATTTAAAACATGTATAAAATTGTTCATCCAGCATAGATAGCAAATATACAGATAAAATTCACACATAGCACGTAATTTATATTAAATACTTCATATCTATGTGTAAGATGAAAGTAACTATGCACTCACCTGATAAGGTGGTGACTCGGTACTCGGACATCACTTCGTTAAACAACTCCTTTGACAGAACCTAATATCATTACCACTAGAGTTGAGTCTAATATTCTCCGAGACTAATTAATAGTCTAATTATTATTACTTTTATATAAGCGTTAAACAATACTCTTCACCCACTGTGTACAGACAGGGGCCAGACATGGAACACCGGAGGGTAGGATCATTTTGGCATAAAGCACTTCTGAATCCAGCAACCCAAGCGACCATCCAAACCAGATTCCCCGTACCACGAGTGGTTAAAAAGATATTATAACGACACTTATATAACTTATAATAATAGCCCAAATACTTATTATAAGGTCCTAATAACATTACTAAATTAAAACATAAGCTATACTAGAGATAGGTTAGGCGTAACTCACTTACAGCGGGTTTTCTAGAAAACCGAGTTTCGCTGGAGCAGCGTTCCTGAGCCGAAAAGCTCTTTTCTTGGGGCTCCGGGAGCCTCGGGGATTCCTTTGGGTTCTAGGGGGTTTACCTAGACTTTAGGGGGGGGGGGGGGGGTTTGGGGGCTAGAGAGAGAGTTTAGAGAGAGAGAAGAGGTTGGAATGGTGTGAAGAATGAGGGAACCCGACACCTCTATTTATAGGTTGCCAGGCAGCTGGACTCGCCGAGTTGGGTCACTGACTCGCCGAGTCAGTGCCATGTGTCATCATCTGATGGCTTTTCTTGGGGAGAAAGCAACGGCTGAGATCGTGCCACGTCACCAAAACTCGCACAACACCCTCCTGACTTAGAAAAACCATAACTCTCGCATACGAGCTCCGTTTTCGACGTTCTTTATATCCACGCGTAGGTAAAAACAAGATCTACAACTTTGATTTAGACTCCGTCGGCTAATTATCGATCAATCTTAAATTTAACAGTAGGAGGAGATTATACTGATAAATGACCGCGAAAAATTCGTAACTCCTTCATACGGACTCCGTTTTCGTCTGTCTTTTTATCGTTGTGTTCCTATTAATGAGATCTTCAACTCTCATTTAGGTCGTGTAGGTCAAAAACCACTCGAACTAAAATTCGAGTTTCGGGCCGTGCACTGCTATGCCAAATCTTAGAAAATTCATAACTTCCTCATACGAAGTCAGATTTGGGCGTTCTTTTTATGGACGCTCTCGGTTTAACATATTCTACGACTTTCATTTTGATTACTAAGGCTAAAAAGTCCTCTATCATAAATTCACTATTTACGTCTCCCGGTGCCGTGTTGGTTTTGCCGTAAAACTTCGACGGGCCATAACTTCTTCGTTATAACTCGGATTTTGGCGTTCTTTATATGTACGAAACCCTTGTAACATATACTACCACTTGGTTAAGATTACTCCTTCTAAATAATCTTCCATCAAAAATTCATTTTTGATGCTTATTGTCTTTAAATTGACTAGCCCGAATCTGCGGGCGTTACAATTACCATCTGTTTGAATACGTGTCACGGTACCTGAATTATGTTTGACCAATTTGTGGAAATAAGCCGGAAGTTTGGTAAAAAAATCCTCTTTCGTACCCCTTAACAACAATAGTGCATATTGCTTCGCTCGCCAAGCCTGATGGTATGAAATATTGATTTTCAATTGAGCATTCATATCATTAATATTATCTTGTCCCCGATATACTCTACTATAATCTTCAGCCAAAACATCAGCAAGATATTCACCAAAAACATATTTTTTTGGTTGTCGATGATTAGGTTGCAAAATTGTTGAATAACATGTGTGTACATCAACATATTTATTCACTTGGAAAAGTCCGCCGGAATTTTTAATTCCTTTTGCTCTTAGTAACCAAGAACAATTTTTCGCAACACACACAACCTCATACCTTGATTTGGTGGATCTACTTGTCCTCGTCTGAAAACCTTCTCGAAGACATTTTTTCCCAATAGCCCGTTTTAGAAGCTCTTTGTTCTTAAATATATTGAGACATTCAATCTTTTGTAGATTGATGTCTACCATCTGTGCTGGGATATATTCATTAATATCAATTGGACATGCTGGTACAGCGGGCATACCGTAAAAAAGGTTATCGGGAAACTTAGTTTTAACTTCATCACCCAACTCATCTCCATCAGAATTGCTTTCTAAGTCGGTTATATCTAAAGCTACATCAGCAACATCAACATAATCCCCGTAAACATGGACATTTTCATCTTTTTGAATCATAACTTTTTTTTTTTACTTTTATCTACTACACGCCTATTCATAACTTTAACTTCTTGTTCGGAAACATCAACACAACGTCCACCCACGTCATTAAGATATGTATCAACATCATCATCACCAACATACTTGTAATTCTCAGAATCCACATAGTGAATAGGTGAATACCTAACATTAACATTTTCAGCAACACTATGAAATTGAGGTACACTAGGAGTATTGAAAGTCCCTATTGGATTGTTGCTCCCTTTATCCCTGCATAAATTAGGAACCAGCTCATTTCCACTCTGGCCACCCTCCGTAACCGCATCACCTTCATCAACCACCACAAACACTTTAACAGCCCTTCCTCCACTACATTTGATTACATTTATCAACATTCTAATATCCATGTCTTCAACCGTTGTTGTATAATGATTCAATTCGGGATGATGGAAACGAAGACTAATTTTATATTTGTCTAACAAACCAGTTTTGCTTCTCACCAAAGATACAAATTCACTATAACTAATATACTCAGAAAATATCAAAGCAAATTCAGAAATACCTCCCAGTGGACATACGTATTCGAGATTTGTTTCAATAACTTCCCATCGCCCACCAGTAACAAGGCAAACCAAATATTCGATCATTTTTTTAGAGAGGTTTTAAACAAATTTTACAAAGAAATAACAACTAAACTGATAATTATTTGCAAAAATTTATATATAATAAGGTTATTTCCTAGTGAAACCCATCAATTTCGTAGTAAAAAAAAATAAAAAAAAACTCAAAATCGCAGATGGAAAACGAGAGGAAATCGCAGATGGTCTATGTCCATCTGCGATTTTAGTCTGAAAAAAATGCTATTTATACAGAAAAAAACCACCTGCGAATGTACAAGTGGCTAAAGCACGCCCGTGCTTCAGCCACTTGTACATTCGCAGATGAACTTTCAAAATCGCAGATGACTTTATTCCATCTGCGATTTTACTGGCTAAAATTGCAATTTTGGTTTTTTTTTTGGCTATTTTCCACAAAGTAATTAGTGTATTTGGCTAAATTTGCAATTTTCTCTAGTTTTTATTTATATTAAATGAAAATGTAATTTTCCTCCCTTATCTAATGATTGGTCCACAATCGTTCTCGCATTCTAAACCTTTTCATGTTCTCGATATAACCTCTTCCTATATAATAATAATAATAATAATAATAATAATAATAATAATAAATTGGACTCTATATGGCTACCCATTTTGCCCATTCAATGCCTACATGCAAATAAATACCAGGCATATCCATGTGAAAGTTCAGTTGAGTGTTGCTGAAACGATCCTCAAGTACTTACAATTCGTAAGTTACGAAGGACTAAATTTATGTTATTGGTATACGGTGGTACTTGGGGACTAATGGGGGAGAACTGTTGTTAAACGTTACACGATTGCTTAGTTAATTTCTCAACTTATCAAAATAATATCAAGTCCTAGTCAAGGTTTGTTATTTTTTTTATGTTTAATAATATAAAACTAAAAGACATATACATTATCTTGCAGCATTTTAATTAATTAAACATTTATATGTAGAATGTTATATATTTTGTTCTTCAAATAAAACATAATTAATATATGTATTTCGTCTAAAACTATTCTATTAAGCCAAACTAAGAACGACATAAAAGAACATTATATAAACAAACTTTTAACCTTACATAAAAATACTAACAATTCATACTTCTAAGTTTGGTACACATAGAAAGACCGAATAACACTCGTTTATTTCTTTGAACACTTCACCAAGAAGAAAACTAAAAACTAAAAGTAAAAGGAAACTTCGAAGCAATGGCAGTATGGCACTACCAGTAGTCATTTTCTTCGAACAATCTTGTCGTACGTACCGTCTTCCTTTACCAAAATAAATTAAAAAACTAAAAAAGAAAACCACGACAATTGCCAACCCCATATTTCAGGAAACAGAGAGACACTTTCCATGCAGCTTCAAATTATTTGACTACAACTTTCTCCAGATATACAATTAATATTTCCAAAACAACTTACAACTTTCAATGCACAAGGTGAAGTCACAATAACAGACGTTCTCTGAACTTGGATACTTTGGCTCTGGAAATAGGGCCGACCCATTCTTCCCACCACCTTCTGGCTTTTTCCAGGACTTTCTTGCCATAACTTTTGAAGGTGACCGGCCGTTCAAACGCAACCTTTTCATACGGAATTACAGATGTTTATATAAACCCACAACTCCATACTTCATGTATTCAAATCATAAACCTCTATTGCTAATTAGCTAACACCATCTACTAACACCCCAACTGGGAAATCAGATTCTTTAGTTCGTTTGCACCTTAACAAGATTCTTAGCCATGAGTTTCGTGATACCTGAATTGGTCCAATATTTCTTCTTGCAATCGTTTCTCAACAGGGGCACCAGAATCTTGAAGTTTTTCTCAAGATGCAAGTTTGTTGTCCACCATCAACTAGGGTTTTCCCCGGAACCCTACATGTCTAACATTCAAGTCAAAAAGGAAAACCATGATCCCAATTTGTCAAGATCACACCTTTCCTTCACCAACAAGAGAATCTCTGGTGATGAAAGCGTCAGAAGAGATGAGTTGGAGCTACTGATGGCGAATTTGGGGGTTTTTTGCCATTCCGGAGGCGAAAAGCTGCCGGAGTCGTTGAATTCTACAGATTTGTTGAATATTTTTGAAGAGGAGCAACCGAGATTGGATGAAGTGAAAGAAGCTTTTGATATTTTTGATGAGAACAAAGATGGGTTTATTGATGCGAGGGAGTTGCAGAGGGTTCTTTCTGCTTTGGGAGTAAAGGAAGGAGCGGACATGGAAGACTGTAGGAAGATGATCGGAGCGTTTGATGAGAACGCCGATGGTAGGATAGATTTTAACGAGTTTGTGAAGTTTATGGAAAACACCTGCTGTTAGATTGGTGTATTTGTTATTAACTTATTACCATTTGTTTATAATTCATATTTTTCAAGAATGGTTTATCATTCTTATGAAAAAAAACATTAAAATTGTATTGGTATATCATTCTCAGTTAGTTAGTTATTATTATTTTTTTTTTTTCAAATATAGGTCAGTTTCCAAAATCATTTCCAAAATGAGTTTTCAACCCAAGTTTTGTATTTTTAGCGCTTTCAAATCTTATTTTTAGACGAAACTTCATAAATGTTGAACTCTAAAGTTTAGTCTCTGTGTTTTCAAAACTTCTAACAAAAAGTCCTTATTGCTAACGCCGTTAAATCTAGCCTAGCGGTATCTGGTGTGACTCTCTCTCCTTGAGGTTGAGGGTTCAAGTCTCGTCGTGGACATAGGTGGATTTAAAGTGGATTTAAAGTGTAGTTTAGAAGTAGGTTAGATTTGCTGTTTAAAAAAAAAAAAAAAAAAACTAAAAGCATTTTCGTCATTTCACTACTATAAGGACCATTTATGAAATTTTTTATTATTTAAAAACATAAGAAAAAATAATATATAATTATTTAAATATTTAAAGGGTCTCTCTCTCTCTCTCTCTCTCTCTCTATATATATATATATATATATATATATATATATATATACTTATAAAGTTAGCATTTTTTTTTGAATCTCATGCATTTGAAACCCCCTTTTTTAACTTCCTCAAACCACATTCATTTGAAACCCCCTTTTTTAACTAATGCAACTCAAAAGTTTCTTAATTATGATTTAACACTCAAAAGTTTTATAACTTATATTATGTTTAATTAGCATTTAGTGAAAAGTTTACTATAAAAATGTCAATCTTTTGGGAAGACATGCATACAAATCATATACAAATTTCAGAAAGAAAACAAACTTAAAGGTTTTTGTGTTGGATTGGGGTCTTATTACCACTTTTGGAGACATGCTATTATATTAGAGCTTTTAATTTGTAAGTTTGTTATACTAATTCGTTTTTATATTTTCTTCGTTTTTGGATTATTATAATACAGTCGTTGTATATTGTGGTTTAATCGTTAATATATTGATCAACTGTTATATAGGGTGATGTCGAAAATATTTAATTAAATATTTTAAATATGTTTTTTTTTGTTTTGTAATTGTATCGTTTCAAAAAGATAATTAATTAAAACTCATACATATGTTATACGTTTTCATCTCTCTCTCTCTCTCTCTCTCTCTCTCTATATATATATATATATATATATATATATATATATATATATATATATATATATATATATATATATATATATATATATTATAATACAGGTGAAAACACTTCAACCAAAATTCATTTAAAATCTAATATTTCAAATGCTTTTTAATAATGATTGTAAAAATTCCAACATGTGTTACTTAATTGATTGATTAATAAAAATATTAATGTTTTGAAACTCCTAACTCTTAAACTTGTATTATTTAATTTGTTAGTTAACTAAAATATTTTTTCCTACATAAAGATAACATTTGTATGCTTGGTTACTCATATTTGTTTATGTAATTAGAAAGCAAGGTGTACATAGAATGACTACTTCAATTTCACATAGGAATCGATACCACTAGAGAGGTATGTTGTCTTTAACCGGTGGTAGGAGATCCACATACCCTTTTTAATTATTGATATTAATGCTTAGTAATATCTATTTTATATTCCTATTCACCTTAATTTTTTAGGTACAAATTAAAGAAGAGGATTCTCGGCACACCAACATAAAGTCAAACGTACGCCTTGCAAAATATGTAATTAAAATTAAATATTATATTACTAATCGACTTATTTTAAAACTCTTGATGACATTTATGTATAATGATATATTTTGTATGACTTCATTCCTAATTTCAATGTTTAATATTTGAAAGTTTATATATGAAACCTTGGATGTTTTGGTGTAATATAAATAGTGTAATACAAAGTTTATTAGTTTAATATTGATTATTACTAGCTCATTTAAAACAACTTATTTCTTATTTTATCCAAATAATATTATCGGACATAAGAAAAGTAGATTATATTAATGTTATACAAAAACTTATAATATATTATTGGATATTATAAAAGTAAAAGTAAAGTTTATAATGTATGGACTATATTATATAGTATCAAAATATAAGTTGATGGATTTCTATGTTATTTAATAATTCGGTTAATGCCCAAAACATGACTAAAAACGTAAATTTCAACATATTTCTATTTTTTCCCATAATTATTTTAACCACTTAAATGCATTCTTGCGCAACGAGCGAGGTTACGCCTAGTATATATATATATATATATATATATATATATATATATATATATATATATATATATATATATATATATATATATATATATGTCAAAGAAAGCACCAGGGTGGTTACTGATTCCGGCGAGATCAAAAGGGGCAACAACCATCGTTCTCCTATTTTTCCTCTTGTTGACCGGGGCTGCTAAACACACATTTGATTGTCGAGAAACACTACCCAATCATCCTGAACCATTTTCTGCCCTCGTTCATTTCTTCTTCTCCGATCAACAGAGAACTGAAAAACCCACTCCATTCTTTCCCTTCGTGTTGTGCTGTCGAACCAGAAAAAGGGAACCGCTAAGGAGGCCGCCGGAGTAGCCCCTAGTTGCAACAGTCGATGGTTGCTCCTCTATTTCCGTTATTCTTCCTTCTTCAATAGTTAGGGATTTCAAATGCCACAACTTGTAACATGAAAACATCAAGATCAGTTAGGGAGCTTCGATTCCAAATCCTATTTCAATTCTTCTTCACACTCTACATCCCATCGCATTCTATCAGTTCTTTCTCACTCACATATCATTAGATTTCCATTTTTTTTACAATAAGTGAGTGAAAGAGAGATAAAATAGCAGGAGGAGGACGTCCGTACATCGCTCTGCTTTTGGTCCTATCGTATTGATCATATTCACTTATTTTGCTCAGGTAACTTCCATTATGTATAAACCAGGTCGAATTAGCTCTATTTTCCGATGATCTAGCATACCCTGTAGTTTTCAAATGCATTAATGATGATGAATTTTGTCTGCTTAACTTTGAATCGAACTGATTCATTTCTAAAACGTCTTGGTGACCGTCTTTGTGACCTTCGTTCTCTTGGTGAGAACATTCTTTCCTAGTGAAAGAATCTTTGTGATTACTCGTGTTCTCTTTTTTTTCTGTTTAATATTTTCTTAGTTAGTTTGTTACTTGTTATTCATACTTGAAGTGTATCCTATCGATACAAACCTTCAATTGGTATCAGAGCAGAACAGGTTTTTGATACACTCAAGTTATCATGTCAACCGCCTATAATCCCAAGTTGTCAGGTCCCAACAAGATCCCTCCTTTTGATGAACATTACTGCATGGAAATCAAAAGCCATGGATGTTCTCGAGATCATGGACTATGATATGCTTGATATCATCAAAAAGGGTCCCATCACCTCTATGCATCAGTCATCCAATGACAATGCATCTGGTAGTAAACCAAAACAACAATCAGTGTCGGGATACAACAAGGAAGAAAAAAGGGTCCTAAATTTTTATGTAAAGGTGAGCATTGCTATTGAAAATTCTCCTCCATTTCATGTCTATCGTTTGGTTCAAAATTGTTCAACTGCACAAGAGATTATGATCAATCTATCATCCGCCTTTAACAAAGATGATCTTTCAGATGAAGAAGTTTCAAAAGGTAACTATCTCATGGTTCAAATCGTTGAGTCTCAAGCTGATGCACCAAGGGACAATGTTAGTACGTTTGATGCTGACCTTTCTCAAGCTGCTACATACTATACGTATCAGGACTGGAACTCAACCTCAACGTATCAAGTAAAGAACTTCGTTAACTATTCTTCCATTGAAAAAGTTGATATGTTTGATCATTTACGTTTCGATTTATCTATTTCAAACAAAGAAAAATCTTCTCTCAAAGTTGACATAAAAAATCTTAAAGAAAAACTCTCCTCTTCTGAAGACTCACTTTCTCGTTTAAAAAAGGAAAACACATGTATCTCACTGACCAACAATTTTCTTCACACTGAAAAAAAAAGTTGTTGATCATGCAAGAAGCATTCAACTTATTTTGAATAACTGGCCTTCTTCACACCGTAATTTAATGAGAATCATTAATGATCAAATTCCTTATCGGTGTGAGAAAATCCTTGGAGGTGATTTTGAAGGCGCTGTTTCTTTAATCAAAAAAATCGAGACTAAACAAACCTTTAATAATGCTGACAGTCTCAAGAAAGATTTTAAAAACAGATTTGTAAGTACCTACTTCATAAATCAAACTCTAATTGATATACATTGTACTACTTACTCTAATGGTAATACCAAATATGTATCTCGTTCATCTACTCTTGATCCTTCACGTCAACCACCTCATCGTGAGTATGTCTTGACCTTCACTAAGATCATGCTACAATTTCCTATATCACATGGTGAAGTTCATTCTATAAATGAAATTATTAGCATGTTTCCATTGTGATCTGTTAGCAACACTGAATTTAGAGATCAATTAAAGACTTCCATTTCAGATGAATTGAGAGATCTATCCTCTATATTTCATGACGAAGAATCATCATAGCATACCATCGATGATATTCCCTGGTTTAGAAATAAAGCAAGAGTTTTTAAATCAAATGATCAAGATTCTTCAGGTTCCATTGATAACAGAAAACAAATTTCAAATAGTAAAAGAAAGAATCCTGGAGCCAAAATTTGTTATCGGTGTGGTGATGCCTCTCACAGAGTCGGCGAGTGTATATTTGAAAGGAGCTCCACCCACACTGACAATATCATAACTCGAAATGATAAATGGATCAAAAAGGAAAACTTCTTGAATTGTCTCTTTGATGTTTTTTTATCACATTTTCACTTAAGTGACCAATTGCAAGATGGGGCAGTGTATATTAGTTGTACATTTTAGTTTTTTTTCAGGGTAAAAAACACATTTGGTATTTGGATAGTGGTTA